TAACACAAGTGAGTTAAAAAATGTTTGCAAAAAAATGATGCTGATAGTGACCTGAAGAATATATGAGGTCTAATAATTAAGTTCACAAACTTGTTCCAATGACATTGCTAACCTTTTTTGATATCAGAGGGGTTATTCAGTATGAATTTGTACCCATTGGACAAACAGTTAGCCAAGTTTACTATTTGGAAGTGCTGAAAAGGCTGCATGAAAAAGTTAGATAACCTGAACTTCTCACTAGCAATTTATGGCTCTTGCATTATGACAATGCACCAGCTCACATAGCACTGTCTGTGAGGGAGTTTTTAGCCAGTAAGCAAATAACTTATTGGAACACCCTCCCTGCTCAACTAATCTGGCCCCAATGACTTCTTTCTTTACCCAAAGATAAAGTAAATATTGAAAGAAGAAATTTTAATGACATTCAGGACATGAAGTACAACATGACGACAGCTCTGATGGCCATTCCAGAAAGAATTCCAAAATTGCTATGAGTGGTGGACTAGCCACTGGCATTAGTACAGAGCTTCCCAAGGGGAGTACTTTGAAGGTGACCATAATGATATTCAGCAGTGAGGTATGTAGCACTTTTTTAAGGATGTGTTTGTGAACTTAATTGCCAGAACTCGTATATGTCTTCTTCTTCCACTATTCTTTCCAATTTATTGTTGCCATGCAGAAATACACATAAGTGAGACCAGATATTGGGACTCATAGGAGGAACTAGAAATATGTTTTGGTGTGTAAAATCTGAGTTTTGAATATGGTCCAAGTTTTTAAAATACAAAATGCACATTCCCCTTCTCTTTGTTGGCCAGATTTAGCCCCTAAGACACTAGTCTATAAATTCTGCTGTACATTAAAGAAAGAACTTTCTAGATTTTTAAATCCTTACTTCCAGCCCATATCAAGGTTGAATCCTGGTTATAGTGAAGCAAAAGCGAGCAGTGGGAAATTAAAGTAACCAATATCTATTGTGAGCGAAGAAAACATGATTTTACCATAAAAAAAGAGGCACATTGAGAGGTTCAGAAGTATTTGGGAGTTGAGGGTTCTTTAAATCTTCTGTATCTTCCAATATATTTTATTCCCCCCCAATAATTGGGACTCTACTTTCCTAAATTTCACATGAGATCTATCAAGTTTGTGAATTTCTGTCATTTTAATGGCTATAGATTGAATGTTTCTGTCTACCTTAAATTCATATGTTAAAAGTTTAATCCCAAATGTGATGGTATTCATAGATATTTTTGGAGGCAATTAGGTCATAAGGGTGGAACCCTCATGAGTGTGATAAGTGCCCTTACAATAAAAGATGTGAGAGAAATAATTTCTCTCTCTCTCTCTCTCTCTCTCTCTCTCTCTCTCTCTCTCTCTGTCTTTCTGCCATGTGAGTATCTACCAAGAAGATGGCCATCTGCAAGCCAGTAAGAGAGCATTCACCAGACAGAATCTTTTGGCACCTTGACCTTGGACTCCCAGCCTCCAGAACTGTGATAAATAAATATTTGTTGTTTAAGATATTCAGCCTATGATATTTTGTTATGGAAGCCTGAAGTGACTAAAACATTAATTGTGTACTTCAAAAACCAACCTTGGATTTTTTTTCCTTCAAAAACTTAAGCTGTGTGGCCATAAGCAGTGAAAGATCATAACATAAGAATTAGATTCTATTCTGTCAGGAATCTTATAGTGCCAAGTGATGTAAATAAATATGATCTCAAATTAGGTCTGAAAACAAGAAAGGAATTTATTAGTTCATGCAACTGAAAATTCAAGAGTGAAGTGCAGTTGAATTTAGGAACTTAAAGGTGGCCATTAACCTTTTTGATTATCCTTTATCATCACATCTCTTTGGACTAATTTAATTTGCAGGTGATAGGAAAGATAGCTTGCTCACGTCTCAGGGCTTTACGTTCATTCAGGTCCTAATCCCAGAGGAAGTGACTGCACTGCAGCTTCCTTGGGCCATGCTTCAATAGAAGAATGCTCTATGGCTCTGTTTGGATCACGGACCTCTTTCCTTGGATAATGGATTGTGGTATCATGATATTCCTGGACTGCATATATGCTCATTTCTTTATCCATGAGTCATTAAAGTCTTTTTCCTACATATTAAGATACATTAAATAATTGTAGAACTTCAAAATTAAATCTTTTACATTATTTGAGCTTTCACCATTTTTCAAAAATTTCTTCTTTGGGGAATAATTTTCAATGTCTTTCCATTTGCAAGTTTTGTTTTTAATAATTTCAGTAAAGCAGCTTTTTGTTTTTGGTTTCTCTACTTGTTAAAAAATTTGATCAAAGATTTTCAACTGATTTTTGAACAAAATGTAAACAAAATCTGTATTACTCAATATATTAACTTGCTAAGGCTGCTACAACAAAGTACCAGAACTTGGGTGCTTAAAACAACAGAAATTTATTATCTTATAGCCTGGAGGCTAGAAGTCTGAAATCAATGGGTTGATAAGGCCATGCTTCTTCTAAAGCCTATCAAGATCCTTCCCTGATTCTTCCTACCTTCTGTTGGTTGCTGGCAAACCTTGGCATTCCTTAATTTGTGGCTGTACCTTGTAATGCATCACTCCAGTTTGTGCTTCTGTCTTCACATGGCCATCTTTCCTCTGTGTAGGTATGTGTTCAAATTTCCCTTTTCTTATAAGGACAACAGTCATTGGACTTAGGGCTCAGTCTAATCCAGTATGACCACATTTTAACTTGATTCCATCTACAAGGAGATAGAATCAAGTGTTCAAATGTAGAAGTTGGTCGAGGGATAATTTATCACAATGAAACAATTACTCTATAGTCAGAGACAATGACTATCAGAGCGTTATGTAAGTCAGGTTCTTGGACATTACTGGCTAAAGCCACATAACCCAGCTCATTCTGATTGCTGTACTAGCTTTTGCTGTTCTGATATAAGTGGAATCAGTAATGTTGGAGCAACAGAGAACACTTATCATGTACTGCACAGTGCACTAATCACATTAAAACTTCAGTAAAATCCTTTGAATCAACGATTTTATAGATGTGGAAATTGAAGCTCTAAAACTAACTTTCAAAGCACCACTTAGCAACTATGTTGCAAAGCTGTGAATCAGATTTCACATTTGAAGCTTGTTTTCCTAGGGTGACCATTAAATTTTACATTCGATGCTCCGTACTTTTGTGAGCGAAAGGCACAAGTGTAATAGTTTAACTGGGCCAGTAAATGTAAAACCAACTTTCTAGTGCACACACGGTGTATGATCGCCCTATCTTTTTCCTCCACTTTTTTGATATCTTTTATTTAATTCAAAGCATTTAATTTAATTTAAATTCTTCCATGACAATTTTTAACAACAGTGATAATCTTAAATTAAAATTAAAGAGGCCAATTAGGTTTGAAAAATTATAATAAAGACAGGAAAACTTAAATATGCATAAAGGATTAATTTATTGAAATGACTGGTTAGGAAACAATAATGATAATAAGCACAATTCCAGAAAAGATTTTTATACATGTTTTTGATATGTTATGGTATTTCCAACTCAAAATTCAGCTTCTGTGGTATTCGTTGAATTAAAATTTGAAAAACAGAGGTTATGATCAAATTCAAATTAAGATGAATGTTATATAATACATAAAATAAAGAAATAAATTTTCAATTTTTTCATGTGGAGTCATTTAAAAATTATTAATTTTTGGTAACATGACACAAAGATTGAAAAGATGTCATATTTCCAGTCGCAGTCAATTCTGAGGAATAGAAAACAAATATAAAATTATTTATGTTATCTGATATAACTATTCATCTCTCCCCATTTGTAATTTTTATGTGACTAATTCATAAGGGATTTATTACAAATATACCATGCTCTGTTCTACCTTGCCTATAAATGTCTCCTAAAACCAAATAGCAGCTCACTTGAAATTGTTTTAGTGAAATGTCTAGTCTACCATGATCACAAAAATATTTGTATCTTAAGAATCTCAAAGCTATATTCCCATTTTTAATCCTCACACTTGGCCTAATTAATTTTATTTTGATCCATGAACTAAAGGACAATATGTAAATATTAAATGAGACACAAACAATTGAAGTTTATGGAACGTAAGGTAGAAATGTGAATGCAAGTTGATTTTTTTTAAAAAGCTCAAAATATTTACATGGAAATATAAGAAACTATTTTCATATTTTCCTAAAAATGATGATAATCACACAAAAGAATAGAGGCACTTGAAAGCAAACCAATCAAATATGTCAATAGCACATAATTAAAATTAAAATTATTTGAAACACCAAAGATATATAATTTCAGGTTAGTAAATAATAGTCAACTATTTAGATGTCAATGACACATTTATAATAAGTAAGTTGGTATATTGATGAAGCTTACCAAAAGTGAGAAGGGAATATTAACTTTGACATCCTCTTAGACCTAAAAAAAAAAAAGAAGAATAAATAAATAAATAATTCACTTTTTGGCAAGAATCCTTTTTCTAAAAATTCTATGAACAATGAAATAAGCCTCCCAATTGTTTGCCTCACATGTACATATATCAAAAAGAAGATATGAAATAAGGGATGTGGGGAATAGAGATGTGCATAAGGAAAACTTCAAAACTGTAGAAAATAATAAACCTTCTTTATTCCAAACCCACATTATCAAATTTAATTCTCTCTTTAGTGTGCCTTAGTCCTCTATATTCTCAACAGACCGATTAAATCAGAATCTCTGAAATAATTTTTTCCAAACACTCTACATAGAAAAAACAGAACAATTATATCTGAATCTCTGTGAGTAGGCATCCACATTGGGATTTGGAGGGAAAAAAGTTCTCTAAGTTATTCCATTGTGTAACCAGTGTTGAGAATCACTGATCTAAAACTATGTGTATTTTGGGTCCATTCATTATTCATTTATTGTTTTATCCTGGATCTCTCACTTCTTTTAGTACCATATATGCATCATGAATGAAGCAGCAGAGTTAGTAAATTTGGACTTACTTGTTGTAAGTTGAAAACTGGGGCAAGTGGTTGAGCCACAGGGTAGAACTGGTGGGCAGGGTCAAGCAGAGTCTCTTGGTACTGAAGGGCTTGGGCGGGTATATCTCCCTGGGGGTAAGCCATCATTTGCTGGGGAAGAGGCTGGACTTTGGGCTGAGTGAAGGGGAGCAGGGGCTGAGTAGGAAGCATGGGGGCCTGGAAAACAGGCTGGGGGACCTGGTGCATCACGGGCTGGAGCAGAGGCAAAGGAAAGTGTGGGGTTTTGACATGAGGGAGATTTGGGATTTGACGTTCAAAAAATGGCATAACTTTGCGCTTAGGAAAGGTGGTCTCCTTAGCTTTGAGAACTTCCATTATTTCAGGCTGAAGGTAAGGCAGCACCACAGCTGGCTGAGCAAGGGGAAGGACATTTTGTGGAAGGATAGCGTAAGGGATGGGCTCAGCATAAGGATAGACTAGAGGCTGTGGCTGAACAAAGGGTTGGGTTTTATCCTGGCGTTCATCCTGGGAAGAAGGAAAAAGAATCTTTGAGTCCATGATTCAGCTGTAATTGTCATTCATGATAATTAACTTCCTCTGTTTTGAACAATCATAACCGAGTGAAAAGAGAGAAAGAAAATATTTTACTTATGTTGGTTAAGAAATTATTTTGGTTCATGAGAAGACAAATGAGTTAAATACTCATTGAAGGATAGCTCATAAACTCCCTTCAGAGGTGGACACAGATCAAATGGGATTTCAAAACTTGTCTCTCTTTTTTCTGAGCTGTCTTCGATAGCTATAGCTGTACACTCTGGTATTCAACGTAATATGTTGATAATAGACCAAATTGTTTCTGTATAATGAAGGAAGACTTATTTTAAAAGACTTAGAAAAATAGCTCTAAGATTTATTTTTGTTTTAATGAAAAGTAAATATTAATTTGTGATTTAATTCAAGGAGTTACTCAACATCTGCCAACTTCTAGCACTACTTTCCTTGGTAGAAGGTAGTTATTGTGAGTCTTTAAAGAGGCATCGATTTGTAAATTCAATTTGACTTAGAAAAATATTTGGTGTAAGTTCTTAACAAACCAACCCCATGGATGAAACAAGGAAGCTGAACTATTACAATTAGATAAATATGTTACCACACATGTAGTTCAATTAAATAATGAATTTTATGTTGTCTAAGAAAATCTTTATTCTTAAGCAAGCTCTACTACTTAATAATTGTCTGATATTGTCACACAATAGTGTATTCAATTGTTCTGTACTGCACTTCTTTCATCTGTAATGGAAATTCTTTTATGAACAGCATGTATTCATAAATATTAATATAAGACCTACAAAATATTAATGTAAAGTCATTGAATATTTATAGTATGCTAGCTTAGCAACCTTAGGGAGTTTATGAATATTCTCAAATTACAGATGAAGAAACTGAAGTACAGAGAAACTTGGGCCCAATGTATGCAGCTAAAAAGTGATCAAATTAGAATTTGTGCCATATTGCTTTCCTATTCTCTTTCATCAACATATCCATCTTGAGAATAAGGGGAACCTAGTTCTCAACCTGGAAATGTTTCTAATAGCGTGCATTTATGGGAAACAGATACACCATCAGTAAAGTGAGCAAGTCAATAATAATTCTTAAGTATTTATTCTATACTCTGCAAATTGCTTATGAGTTTAAAAAATGCATTTATGTCTTGAAAACATATTTACTAAATCAAGGTTTTACTTTTTACACTGGTTTTTATTTTATTAACATCTTTAAACTGTGCATACACATATTTTGTATGCATTATATTTTATAATAATTTTAGAAATATACTCATCATGAACAAATTACCTCTCTTTGCTGCTGTTTCTCTTGTTCAGACTTCTCAGGTTTCTGCTAAAAAAACAAATCACATAAAAAGAAATGTTATTATCTGTAAAAATTAAATGTAGGAAATTTTGAAAATATGAACACTTATATATGAAGGTTTTACCTTGTTGATGTGTGAAATAGATTCCTTCAGAAAAATAAAAATGAAGTTAGATTAAGTTTTAATGAACGATTTTTATTTGTCAATATGAATCAGAAAAGGAAAGCATTTAATGGGTTAATGTGGACACATTTTTGATAATATCATGAAAAACAGGATAATTACTGAAACTTATATGTTGCACTGTTCTGCTTAAGCTTATTGTATAAAAGAAATATAGCTGAAGGTAGTCAAGACAGAAAAGAAAATTAGTGAACATAATACAAAAAGAGTCATTTAATAAGTGCTAATTTTTCTCTATCACTGTTTTCTTCTTTTAATAAATAATCTCTAATACCCCATCTGACTCTAAAAGAACAATATTAATAATACATTATAGTAACCATTGATAAATTCTGTTTATCATTCTTAGTTCATTTATTATGCTTATACTTCAAATGAATGATAAGAACTAAATACCTTCCTAAGGACTTGATGATACTCTTGTGAAGAGACAAAATATACCGATACACCATTTAACTAACGGGAGACGACAGGCCTCCCCCCAAAAAGTGGTGCAAGGGTAATTATCTACCTGACTCTTCCAGACAGATATAGGACTACAAATAAGTCTCACTGCCTCTTATTTACTAAGGTGACTATTGTAATTATGAAATGTGTCCATTTCCTTGTCTGTCCACTCACTACATTGCCAGCTCTTTTCTGCGGGCATCTGCTTTTCAGTTTGTTCCACAGCTTCTAGTCAATGTCTGATCCACAGAAGGCACTCAATAAATGTCAAAACAATGAATAATGTCAGCATAGAAAGAGCTCAAGACAAAAAAAAAAAAAGACTGAATAGTTCATTTAAAGAAGGTGGGGTGAGTGGAGTGACACAATTTCAAATAGCAAGCCTACGTAGAAAGTTCTTGAATACTGAATTCTGGAGACATTTATTCCATCCTTAAACACATATAATAAAAATTTACACCAGAACTTGTGTGTCAGAACTAACTGCATTGGCTTAAATGCCCTCAAGTAACACAATAGAAAGATTGTGTGGTATTTTACTGTTCCGAATTTGGGAAATTGCCTCAGAATGAACATTGTCTTACCTCACTATTTGACAGGCTTTCTACAGTCTGTAAAGAACAACAACAACAACAACAAATCAACAACTGGTTTCTCTTAGATCACCAGAGAGTGTTACTATTTTATGGTTGAAAATTTTTCAATGAATAAAAATATCTTACCTCAATGGATACACCGAATTCTACCTTTAATAAACAAAAAACAAAACACGATTTTGGTTTCCATAGCTAGCTCATTAGTAAATATTTTTCCTACTTACTTGTTACCTTCTTTTATGCAGTGCTATATCCTTCACAAATTTAAGAAATATGTTTTTTTATTTATGTTATGTGTCTTTTGAGAGCCTTAAAAGGTAATTGTTTTTATGTCTTTTATATTTGGTAACCCTAATGGTATATTTTCACTTTACCTGAATGAAGAACAATTTTTTATGGGTAACAGAAAAGAAGTTATTTTAGTTTGTAGTAAATAGTTTTTATTATGATTACAAACATGTTTATGATTATGATTATGGCCTGATACTCCACTCTCTGAATGTCTTTGGATAGACACAGGTAGGATTTGGCCCAGTACCCTAGGGTAAGAGGTACATATGTTTCGTCACGAGAGTAAGATATCTAGGCTGCACGTTTGCGCAATTGTGCTTGTGCGATATTATTCTTTTTTGTTGTTTTCATATTTGTTTCTTCTTGTTCTGTCTGTTGCTTATTGGTTTGTTTGTTTTTCCATTAGGGACTAGTGACACAGGTGTAGAAAACACTACCCAGATTTGTGGCTCTATAGGACACTGTTGAAATAGTGGCTGAATGTAAATTATTTTTTTAGAAGTTAAAAAAAATGGTTAAAATTCTGCTTTATTTGTACTTAATTATTTATACTTTATTTATTGTACATTTAAAATGTTGGTCATGTTTTTTTCTATGTGTAGACAGATAGTCCACTATATGTTAAATATATAGAGATTTTCTTACCTCCTTAGCAAGAGCAAGGGCCACCAGGCAGGCGAGGATGAGGACCTTCATGGCTATCAAGTCCTGTGAATGAGAAAATGAGGAAATGGTAATATAGTGGTCAATCTAATACATTTTATTATTTAGGCAGGGTTACTTTTCTTTTAAAGAATCCAAAGATAATGTAAAATTGACATGTCTGCATTTTAGAAAAAAATACTAATAGGAGTTTTATCATATAACCAAGGTCAAAATCTACTATGGCTCTTTACTCTTACATATCAATTTCATACTTCACTGGCAGTCATTCAGATTTTTTTAGTTATCAGCTCTACCTCACCTCACATTTTTTCACTTCATTCACAGTGTTATGAGATTTTTTTTGAAAGACAGAAAGAACTTATAAATATTTACAGAAGCTTTATTAATTGATTCATTTATTCAAAAGTGAATAATATTTACTTAGCACCCTTTATTGCCAAATGCTGTCTAGATGCTAGGATTATAGCAATGAACAAAATATTAAGGTACCAGCCCTGGTGGGCCCTCAGTTCTCTTGGGAAGAGACTGGTCAAAGAAAATGTACACATAGAAAAAGATCGTATTTTACTTTTACCTTTCTTTCCATTACTAAACTACACAGTTTCCATGAATATTTGGTTTAATCATATCTCTTTATTTCCAGTAAGACGGGGATTTTTATTTGAGCATTTCATTTATTTGCTCCATTTATCCAGATGCTTTTGTGAACTGATTTGTTTTTTCTTTTTTTTCTCTCTTTATACCCACTACAGAGTTTTCATCCACACACACATAATGATGTGTTTTCTCCTTTGTGCCATATAACTTTAGAGATCATACACTATGCCTCTTCTTTACTCTCTGATCTCTTGATGATTTACAAAAGGATCAGGTGCTCTTGTCCAGTCCCCACACCAGGCTACCACTTCTCGTAGCATAACATAAAATATACGTTAACAGTTTTGACCCAAAGATACAAAATGGTTCATTTTGTTGAATTTCTATCAATATAATGTTTGTATCACCAATATCTCTTGACATACAATCTTTAATCCCAAAATTTTAAACTAAATTTCTGAACTGAAAATATTTCATGAAAAAAGTCCCTATTCACTTGCAAAATGTTCTTTCCAATTTTTGAAACCTGAAAATAATTTTCTTTATCAGGGAAGAAATATATTTTTCTAGGTTTTTCTCATGAGTGCTATATAATCCTTTATTAATTTTACTTTAACACCTCCATAAATTTCAAAATAATTTTTCATTGTCAGGTTTAAAAAAAGAATATGTTACACTATTGGACATTATAATGGATAGGAAAGATCTATTGCATTTTTTATATTTTATAATTAGCACTTTATATACCAATTTTAAAGCCAGAACTATGTTATTGACTAATATATTCTAAGGTACTCTTTCTTTCAAATCTTCTTTTAGTTTGTTTTTGTTTCCAAGTCATCCATGTCTCTTCTAGAATATTTTTACACAGCAAAGCACTTTGTTTCTTTTTAACTTAATTCTGCATTGCATGTTTATTTTAATATTATTTTGAGATATTATATATTGAATAATAAAGTGAGATGTTGCATTTTGTAAACAAATTTGATGAATACCCTCTTTTTCTAAAAAAATTACTCTTAAACATTTCAAGTAGTACCTGTACCCAAACAACTCCCTCAATTTCTTGACTCAATATGCTACCTCTGTAAGCTACCTGTTGGATAAAATGTCCCCAATAATTATTCATATCCACATAATAATTTAAATATTGCTTTTATATCTGTGGTATATTTAATTAAATTGGAAGACATTTAATTCAGGAAATAGATCTTTTAATATAGTGTGTTAACTAGCCTTGTACTGAAAAATTGGTAACCACTATTATTACACTTTCTTAGACTCATAAAGCTTATGCAGTCATTATAATTTTTACCAAATCTTTATAGGCACTTCTACTTTTTAAAATCTAAGTGTTGAAAATAATGTGAGTGCTACATTTAGTACCATTATTTCAAAAACTATACTTAAGCAATTATTTTCTTCAGATAGCTCAACCTAGTTTGAAATAAACCTATAGAAGGAATACATCAAATTTATATCTGAAATTCTTACCTTTTTCCCAAAGTGGAGGATGAGAAGTGAAGGAGCAGTTAAGTGGATGATGGTCTGTCCGTTTTTGTGGCTGTTTATATACTGTATTTGATGGCATGCTAATTTTGTGGTTTGAAATAAAATCAATAGTGAGTTTCAATTCCAAGAAATTCACATGACTAGAAAATGATTTCTGCCTAATATCTGTACCCAGAAATTCTGGGGAGAATTTTAACAAGGGAGCAACTTACATCTGATAAAGGAAATCTGTCCAGGAAACACAACTGTCTAATAACCAAAGACAGTTACTGGAGGACAGTGACACTCTGGCCCTGTCCCCAAGTTACTGAGGACACAATTAGGTCTCTTAGGCTCTTGGTGGGTCCTCAAGATCTCAGTTGTGTGTGTGAGAATTCTATGTGAGATATGCAGGAGCTTCACCAAAGCAATTTCACGTTAACCTAAGCAGTTGTTCGTATGTTACGCCACAATGGAGATACTGACAACAGAAGTCCATGATAGCTTAGTCATGTAAGCCAAATGGTTAGCTCTCAGGGCCACTTTATTTGGGAGCAATAAATTATTCACTTAAAACCAATATCTTGTACACAAGAGGAATAACCCTTCCTCTGAAATGGAACATCTCAGAAAAAGTATCTGGATGTCTGGGATAGGCAAAATCCTTGGTAAATCTGTTATAAAACTTTTGCTAGATGTCATGGAGACTTAGCTACCTGGTAAATATTGTTTACCTTTTTCTCTTTCAAGCATAATATTATAGTAGCTTTTGTCTTTCACTTAGTACCAACCGTTTGTCAGGCATTATGCACATTTTAGATATTATCTTGTATATTGCCACAAAAACATCATGTGGTTGCTCTTTTTTCCATATTTTTGCTTAAGAAATTGAGAGACCAAAAGGTTAAGTATCTTGCCAAAATTATATTGTTTGTTAATGGCAAAGATACCGTTTAAAACCAGATCTCCCTGATTACATGTGTTTCTATTTAATTTCATGCAATGCCTATGTCTTAACCTCCTGAGATTTTGTTACAAAATTTAGCTATCAACCTAACATTTGGGTTTAAATGTGCATCATTTGTTATGCCTGGATTGGAGGAAAGTGGTACTCGTGCTGAATGTGAACAGAGGGAACTGATCTTTCAGAAGCCATTATTTTAGTTGGAACTTAAAAATATGTGTAGAATTTTGAAAAATGAGTCAATGAGAATAAAGTATCTTGGCTAAAGTAAATATAGATGCTTGAAAAGCCAAATACCAGCTTTGATGGATTTTTGTATTTTAGAATACATAGAGAGTATATAGTTTACGTTACTGTTGCAAGAGTTTGATGGAGTCGGATCATGGATGCTTTTGAATTTCAGATACACAGTGTGATATAATTCATTGGAAATAGAAAAGATATTAGAAATTTGAAAGGAAGAAGGGTTGTAAAAATTTTGGGGTTGTATGTATTTATGACAATATCTTAGGCAAATATCATGTTATTATACTAGTCTAAGACAAACATTATGGTGACCTCAGCTAGAGAGATGGTGCTGGGCATCTCAGGCAATAGGAAGACAAACTTATCATTAAATGTGAGAAATCAGGGAAATAAATGAATAGAATATGCCTGGATAATTGAAAAGTTAACCATGTTATAAACCACAATAATACACAAAGCTGAAATTTGAAAGGAGATACCTTAAACCTAGTAACTTTGAAGGTGTCCAGGGTGTGTTGTGAATTAAATATAATGCTCAAAGGAGAAGTACAACTGTATAGATGATTTTTTTTCAGACAAAGGAATAAATGAACTTCCCTTGAGGAAAAGTGGCAAGTGAGAAGAGAAATTGTCTAAGAACAGAACTCAAGATACCATGTGATTCAGGAGCTGGTACAGCAAAAGGAAATCAGAAAAATAGAGTATCAAGGAGAAAGGAGTAGAGGCTGATGGGAACCATGGGAGGAAATAGCTAGAAAAAAAAACAAGTGGAGTCAAAAGTGAAAATGCAACCCAGATATGGAGTAAGTTGGAAACAAAGAAGAGATTTTTGAATTTATGGAGTCATTATTACTGTAACCATTGAGATATACTCCAATTGGTTAAGAATAAAGGAATGTGTGAGAAATTAAAGGTAACTCTACTCTTCTGAGATTTTAGAAAAGGAGGTAAAAATACCTATGGAATGGTATCTATGTCTATAGGGACAACCAGAATCACAGGAAGGTAATTTTAGGATAGAAATTTGTAGCTTAAAAGAAACAGGCCAATGGTGAGAAACTGCTGAAACACACCAAAAGGGTAGGAATAAACTCATGGAGCAAGTTCCAGTAGAATCAGGGTCACAGCCAAAAGAATTAAACCTATACAGAATGTACCAATTTTTCTGAGTCAGGAGAAAAGGGGGAGAAGATGAGTATATATAATGCATACTTTGAAAGGGTAAAAATGTTGAAATCAAATGATCTTACATTTCCAGTGAGGTGCAGGGTGTGGTTTTCAATTTAGTGAGGGAAGTGTTTATGGGTTTGGGATATTTAAACGATCAAGCACTTTGGTTAATGTGAAAATAAAGATGAATGACAAGACCCACAACAGTAACTAATAACTAGAGGAGAGTAGGCCTCAGATTATTTTCCTTACCCAAGTACATTTATGGCAAGATATTTGCAGTATAATAAAAACAGGTCAAGAGAATTGTTGGAGGGCCAGCTGAGTGTTACAGTTGGTTAAGAGCTCGCTCAAGAGTTTGAGCTCTGAGCAACAGCGGTTCAAGTCCCGGCCTGAGCTGAGCAGTCGCTGAGCTGCCAACAATAGGTGGCAGGATGGCTCAGCTAAAAAAAAAAAAAAAAAGAATCATTGAGGTGGAGAGACAGGGTTGAATGTGTTTGTGTTAAAAAAGCTAATCAGCTTTAGCCTCAGGTATACAATGCAGTGGTGAGTGGTGAGACAT